GTGTAATTGGAACTAAGATTGAAAGTCTAGAAAAAAAGATAGGTTTAAATAAAAGTAAATGCAAAGTTCAGTAGTGCAGTAATAAAGAACAGGCCTTAAATATATCCGATTTTATCGACAGAGTTGCCTTTTTTAGTCCGGACTCGCACCGAGAGGCTTGTCGATAAAATCGGACATATTTAGTCCAGACTCGCTCCTGGGAGCAACGCTGTCGGTAAGGGGGGCAAAGTGTACGGTGGCGGGTGGGCTCGTCTTCACCCGCGGGCCTCTCGCGATTTCTGTTAACCCGTGTAACCGTTCATTTGTTTCTGCCTCGGAAAGTGTAGCTGTACTAATTAAATACTTGCTCGAGTAGACTCTAGTAGTCACGCTGGCGCTTATTAAGATTCAAAGGAGAAACTCGTTTAAAGAGACCCACCAGCCCTCGTCGATCTTCGCCGGTACGTAGGTTAGGATCGACCGTGCGATAATGAAAACTTTATAAAATCTTGCACACGATAGAGGAAATAGTAGAGATAGGAGTGAATGTTAAATGTCAGAAGAGATTAAATATAGCAAAAAAGAACAAACTACGAGATCTTGTCATAGGAATTGTGTCTCACGGTGGGACAATGGATCCTTGTGACACCGAGGTGACGTTGAAATGACGTTTACGTAACTGTCAAACAATGAGTAAAGTCGTAATAACGTCGTCGCGATGTCATTACGAGTTTTGCCTTGTACAATCTGGGACAATCCGAAGTATTCAGCGTCCAGTTTATAGATTTAAGCGTTGCCGTTTCATTTCTATTCTTAGTATTTCCCGTATTGTGTGCAGGCGGCCCTGAGTGTAGTACAGAGAATTGAAAAAACCTCACGAACCGATTATGAGATGCGCAAGATATGACAGTGGCAAGAAAGCGTACTTGAAGAAGAAACAAAGTAGGTGCAATCTTATTTAATCTCATTAGCTACCCTCTCTCTCTCTATTGATAAGAGCGTGTGTGATTCCACGTAGGTGTGGAGGACGTGACAATGACGACAAACGACAGGGTAAACGGGAAGAACGACAGCTCGCCCCGAAGTTGCCACGCGCAGTCGTCCGCCAGCCACAGCACGCCGGATACGAAGAAGCCGGTTGCGGAAGAGTCACCAGACGTCGATTACTCCCCGAGCCTCATGTTATTCCCGTGTACGCAGGAGGGTGGCAACGAGGTCGCGTGGGACTGGCAAAGTTCTCTGAGCAGGTCTCCGGAGAACAGGAACAAGAGACGGAACGTCCAGTGCGAGACGCCCAAGGGTACCAAGCTGCTACAGAGGAAGAGGAACTCGAACTCGCCCTTGCTGCACCAGCCACTCAAGAGGAAGACCATGAAGCTGCAGAACATCGAGAACATCGGACAATTCGCAGCCGAGCTGCAGGCGCTGAACGAAAAGATGAGAGTTATAAAGCAGAACGACAGGGAACACTCGAACGTTTGTGTCAAGAGGGAAGAAGCGTCGACGAATGCGTGCGTCGAGGAGGAGATGTCGAAGGTGAGAGACGAGCGGAGCAACGCTGACGCGCGGAGTAACGTTGGAGAGACGACTGATCGCACAGACGCCGTCAAGAAAGAAGCTGCGAACGGAAGTTACGACGACCTGTTTGACGACTCCGTGGACGACGATATGATCAAGTGCACTCAGGAGATAGAGAAGAAATTCAGTTTGCAGGACAAAGAGAGTTTCACCCAGTCGCCGACCAAGAAAGGAGATCAGTGCACGGACGACGCGTCCAGTAGAACACAGTCTGGCTCCAAGGAGAGTTGCAGAAAGTCGTCGGTCAGCGGTGTTTCTGGCGCAAGTAACAATAAAACATTAAAGACATACTCGAAGTTATCGTTGCGACGAGACTCTGGTATACATACAGCACAGAGAAGTAAAGATCCGGACAAACCGTGTCTGAATAACAATAATACGACGAGTTCCCGCGTCGAGAAGCTGCGCGACAGTAAGAAACTGCCGAAAAGTAATACCGTAGACTCGCTTAATTTTTCAGATGACTCTTTCGACGACTTGTTAACGACCTGCTTTGAGGATGAAAAATTAATACTATTGTCATCCTACGGCTGCTTAACTCGTAAAGACGGTAATGCGAAAGTCCAGGCCAATTATAAACATTTAACCGACGCGCCGTTGAAATCCGAAGCCAAATCCGCCGATTTGCTTAAGCCTACGGCAAAGCCTGAAATGTCCAGCGCTAATTTCCTAGAGAAAAGAAAGTTCTTTAAATTCAAGAGCTTGTCAGATCAATACGCTAATCGAGACGCGAGTACGAGTGTTAGAGATACAACGAACACGACGAGACCTACGTTACAGCACTTTTACTCGTCCAGAGGCCCGATATCGCGTACAAGTGTCGCGCGCATCCCCGTAAGTACAAAACCGATTGTTACAAATGATGGTAAGGTCGAGAATAATGCAATTTCGTTAATGCGTGGTACGGATCGAACGCATGGGTCCAATGTTGACAGGTGCGCGGTAAAAGGCGATGGTAATCGCTACGTTAAACATCATTCTACCGGTAATATGAAAAGCGATACGCCGGAAACGATGGCGAAAACTGGTTCGCAGCCGGCACGGTGTACCGCGGAGGAGATCGAAAGAAAGAGATTGCAGGCCATAGCGAAACTCGAGGCGAAAAGAAAATTATACTCCGTGAAAATTACGAATAATATCAATAGGTGAGATCACAGAAGGTGCCTTAATCGGTTGCATTTATGAGAAAGATGATTTTCTTGACTATAATGTTGTTACGTTACGTCGACAAAACTGCCCCTGTGATCGCCGCTATCATTGTCTTCGTTCGATGTTATATTGTAAAATAATTTTAAGCAAATTGCACAAATATATTTATAATTGTACGTATAAGTATAATCTGACTTAATACAAAAGTATACGTTTAAATCACATGTATATACAGACTATATACAACACACAAAGGAGCGTTCGAGAACGTAACTGCGGAACTTGTCGGCGCTCGTGAGGACGTTTTTCATTTTTTAGGAAACGATTTTACGACACACCGTAACTACATTTCTAGCAATGGTAAATTATGGAGAAACACAGTCTGTGATTAACAGCCCAGATTTACAAGTTTATTTTACCATCCGAACACATCTGGACAACAGCAAGATATTCTATCGAAAATGGACAAACGATTGTTTCGTTTTTTTTTCTGTTTTTTTTAATCCAAAATAAAATATTAAAGTCCTTTTATTTGACATGTTTTCCTTTCTGGCTTACGCAACATCAAACACAATCACGAAACATTTCTGTATATTTGTAACTTCATATGTCTTAGTGCCAATTTAATTTTGGAATTTATGAAATTTTGATTATAATTTTTTTGTCGCGTTATATATGTACATTATGGATATAAGGTCAAACGGGAATTATGATTGTTATAAAAGTAAGTATACAATCGATCATGTACCAGAAAACTTTACTATCGAATACACGTGTCATTTTGTCAGCAATATGAAGCGTTTAGCTCTGTTGTGTTGCGAGACTTGCGTTTACCGCATTCAACGTTTCACGAGTAGTAGCGTTTCTGTGCGTATTATATTTTTCTTGACTTTTATACTTCTTTCCGTTACCTTCACGAGAGTTATAGTTTCCCATTGTGTGTGTGTGTATCATTTATCTCGTTATGTCTTTACTTTTAATAATTAACGTGTTCAGATAATTTATATGCGTTGCGGCGTTACTTCTGCGCCTGACCTGTCGTTTTTATTAAAATTCAAAGTGTATAGTGTCAAATATAAGATTTTAAAATATACGCAACGTCTTTCACACGTAAGAGAAGGGATGTAAATTTATTCAGAAAGTTCACGGAAGTCGAAGGTCGTTTTTCTTGTAATCTAATCTGCCCCCGTTCTCTGCAGCTCCGAAATCCGTAGGATTTAAGATGTGTTGTAACGCAAGAAATTATATTTTTTAAAGGTACTTGAATACGTGTACGTTTGTCCCCTACCCTGGAGTCGGCAGAATGATAAAGCGGCTGTCCATTACACTGTTTTCGATAAAGAATTGAAGAACAGAAGTTGAGGAAAGGAAGAAACGGTAAATATAATACAAGCACAGTACGAATACGTTGCTCGATCAAATTGGAATTGTTGTTCGCTGGTGAAACCGTGAATATCGAAAGTTTCGTTTCGCTCTTTTTTTTTTAGTTTTAAATGATTTATTATTTCAGAATTTTTGTGGAAGGGATCGCCGTGGAACTCGATCGCTTCCAATTTTCTTCGAGACACTCGATCTCAACAATGTTACACATATTAAATTTCTTACGCCATCGATCATTTTAATTTTCGTTTCCACATGGACTTTTCCTCACATATTTTTAGCCAAGAGGTAGCTGTCGTTTACTCGTTCTTCCCAAACATTTCTCAAAGACTTGTATGAAGTCGAAGAAACTCATTCCAGTTAAATTAACGCATATAGAAAACGGATTTTTTCAATAAAATTTGGACAATTTTAATAAAATGCATAAGGAACACACGGTAGAAAACACTTTGTATTTTTGTCGAAATTTTCTCGTGTAGAAATTTTTGTGTTAAATTTTTAACATACTCTTATGTTAATGTAACATATTATAGTTATGATATCTCGACTTTTCTAAGTTGAGTTCACCGTTTTTAAAAGTTAAAACACAATATGTAAATGCATGAATTTTTTACGATACATTTTATATGTTAAAAAGAACAGAAGAATTGTGTTACTTTATCCTCTATAACAGTTTATATCTGTTAAATCGACATTTCGACTTTTATATTATTTATCATAAAGAGATATCGCTGCCTTTTGTCTTTTGGTGTGGCCAGAAAATAATTACCGTGTACAAACGCGGACACTGTTGTTTCAACATTTCTTTTCACTTATTTTAATAATTTTACATTTGAGGTCAATCAACACAAGAGCAATATGTTAAATTAACACATGAATGTGTTAAACATTTAACACAAAAATTTTAACCGGCATTTTTTAACAAAAATAAAACAAATTTTTCAACTGCGTATATATTGTGCTTTTCGTTCTCACGTTGATTCGATGTCGAGTTAGCTAAAAGAGAATAGAAATCTCACAGAAATATCTGCACGTATGTATATCGCGTAAAAACAATTATAACGAAGTCGAAGGTGACAAAGATATAAAACAGTCGACGTCGATTCGACCAATCTACCTTCACATATGCGACCATTCCCTTTAAATTTTAACTCGGTGCCGCAATATTCATAATTCGCCCTCTTCGCTCGCAGTTTTTGGGAAAACCTGCAAGATCCTCCGGCACTTGAATTTACATAACGATTGAGCATCTTTTTTGTAAAAAAAAAAAGTTATGCGCGGTACCGAACGAATTTTCGCGATACAGCGAGGTATCGCCGCCATGTTTGCTCGTGTTCAAATTTTTATTCGAGACTTTCACCGCGGACCGTTATTATCTTTTTCTCTCTCTTCGGCCGGAGAATATTTGCTACTCGGCGATCATCCTCGAGAAAAACGAGACAAATTCGCGCACGCGCGACCGCCGAATTTCCCATGCTGGCCGACGTCGACGTCGAGACGCCGCTTTAATCAATATATCGAGTGACGTCACGCGAGAGGTTTATCACCTGCCCGCTTCGTTGTTCTACGCGGCGCGACCACGCGAGCGGGGATCCTTTTCTATCCCCTCGCCGCCTTTCGCAATTCGTTCTCTCGGCTCCTCCACTCCGTCGACCAAGCGGCGCGCGATCCAACGGGAAAACGCGGCGGGACTTCCTCTCGTCGGACGCGACTTCCTCTCGGAGAAATTCGCGGCGTTTGCGCGTTAAACGTCACCCCCCTCTATCTCTCTCTCTCTTTCTCTCTTTCTCAGCCCTTTTTTATCTCTCGCGCGATAATCGCGCGCCTGTATCTCGCCGCTCGGATGGACCCAGTGGGCCACGTCGCACGTCCACGCTACGAGCTCCTCCATTTCCGGTCGGCCGAGTCCGCCGAGCGGCGTGTTCAACCCCCGCGGTTCGCCAGGGGAGGAAGCGGCCTCCTCTCTTTCTCTCTCTCTTTTCCACCCTCCACCCCTCATTTTCCCTCGTCGGTCCCTCACCGTGTGTCTGTGAACTGACTGCCACCGCCATCGTCTCCTCCTCTTCCTCCTCTTCCTCCGCCGTCGTCATCGCCGCCGCCGCCGCCGCCACGAAGATCGTAGTACCGTCGCGTACCTCGAGTAGCCGAGTACATCGAGCGTCCAGTATCCCCGAACCCGCGAATGCGGAGTACGAGTATCTGGACCCACCACGCCGGCCGCCTATCGTCACGATGCTACTACTCGCGGTGATCGGGCTGCTCGTCCTCGCCGGCACGACCACCGCCGAGGTCTTCACCAACACGTTCCTGGTGAGGTTGCGGCAGCCGGAGGAGCGGCACGTAGCCGATCGCGTGGCGGTGAGGAACGGCTTCGTCAATCTCGGACCGGTGAGTCCCCGAAATACCCGCCGACCCCTGACCGAAGTCACCCTGACGCGCGGACGCTCCAGGTGGCAACAAGAGTGTCACCCGGAGTACCATTACTCGACCACGCACCTATACGTACCCATTGTATACGTATATAATGGCCGCGTTCAGCGGAAAAGACTGTGCTTTTCTGTTGCAAAGATCTTGGACCTGTTTGGCGTATGCTCTCGATTGTGGCAGAATATGGCAGAAAGTAAGCGTACTCCAGCCAAATATACGAATTTTGCAACTGTTGTGCAGCAGCTTTTTCCGCTGAACGCAGCCAATGTGCTGTGTGTATGTGTGCGTGTACATATTTTATATTGATAGATGGATAGCGTTGATCAAGAAGTTCCTTCTGAAGCTGTTCTCCCTCGGCCGCCCTAACTTTACAGATTTCCTCCGTCCTCGTCTCGTCCCTCCAGGTTTCCGTCCCTCCTGCCTCGCAGCTGGCCACCCCAATTCGTCTCGAACGCGAGAAATGTAGCGCCGCAGAGGTCGGATGAAATTGGAGGAAGCGGATCGCTCGGAGAGGAGGGTCCAGGTGGACGGCAAATCACGCGGCGAACGCGTAACGATCGGACGTCCCCCCCGAAGTTCGCCCTCGCCGCGTATGGCGTCTATTCGCGTCGCGAGAAATGGAGAACGCTTTCCGGTTCGGGTGTCAGCGCGCCCCTCGTCCGCGAAACTTGGCCGTCGCCGTTGAAACGGGCGTCCATTATGTACAGTTCAACTACCACTGGGTTCTCCAATAAATGTCACGAAAGCGAGACGTCCGCGGGTAACAATGCGCGCCGCAATGCGCGTGTTGGATCCGCGATTATTCGCTGCCGGGGTGCGCGAGGATTGGCGGATATCGCGAATCCCGGGAACGGTAAACCGCGCGTTTCCCGACGCGTTTGACGCCCGATTAATTAGCGGCGAGCGAAACGACACCGCGGAGGAGAGCGGGGCGGGCCGGGGTGGAATGAATATTCTTTTTGTACGCGCTGTCGCGAGCGCAGAAACCGCACGAGCGCCGATTCCGTTGCGGCGCGTTCAATTGCTCCGCAACGGATTGCGTTGTATTAGCGGCCGTGTTTTCCAGCACGCCGCCCCGACAGAACCCGTTCATTGGCATCTCGTGCCAATTGACGTGTCACAGCCCCGGCAAAACAATGTTTCACGCGTGAATAAATACATAGGATTGTATAAAAATATACATAAAAAAATGTCCGTGCATACATTTTCACGTTGTATATTTTTATATATTTAATTTCACACAATTCCACCCGGTTCTGTATACTTTTGTAGATTTATATATGCTTTTATATAAAAAATTTTTTACTGTAAAAAATTGCTTATGTGTAATTGTGTACAATTGTATAAAGTTACGTGTAATTATAAATAAACTATTTTTCTCTTTTAAAAATTGTCCACATGAAAACATGTGTAAATCTGTCAAATTATATAGAACTACATGAGAAGTATGCAATGTAAAAATACGTATGGACATATTTCATGTACAATTTGATATAATATTGTATATTTATGCATGTCCATGCGTGAAACATTTTTTTTCCGGCACTTCTCTCACGTCTTTTTTTTTGTATTTTCCAAACGCTTCGGATTAATACCAGAATCGTTGGACCGAGCGATTTCGGCAAATTGTTTGCACCACCGTGCGATATGAAAATCTTTCTCTCTCTTTCTCTAAACACACAGGGTGACCATTAGACAATATGTGGTAACACGCCAATGTGGGTCACAAGGCAAGATGTAGGTAGCCCAACTTGCAAATCTTAAATCTTTCTGAAAATCGTGAATCTATATACCGTTTCTTTCCACATTAGTACTACGCGCCAATTTCTTTTCCGGACATAACGCAGTTTATCATACACGTGGAAATATTACGTTGGACCATTAGAGTTGTGTTGGAAGTAAATCGTTGTTACTTCGTCACAAATAGGTCGAAGAAAATGAATCAGCCGCCATTTTGTAGAGGGAACTTGTCAATTTCATTACCGTACGTGTAAAAAAATATATCCAACGTTTCCGTAATTTAAATACACCTTGTAAGAAAAGAGACGAAAATTCGCTTGCGCGCATAAATTAGTGATGGATACTTTCAAAGTGTCGTCCGTCAGAGTCGGCACAGATCCGCAACCGTTTTCGAAAAACTTTAAACTACACATATGAACGAATAGCCAAAGCAACACGCGCGCGCGAGCGAACGTGTGTCCGCCTCAAAAACTTTGGTCGTTATTTTTCCAACGAGTGGCGCGCATTCGCGAAAATCCCGCTGATATTTGCATACAAATAAAAAGTAAAGCAACACGCGAGCGAACGTGTATCCGTCTCGAAACCTCCGGTCGTTAATTCTCCAACGAGTGGCACACATTCGCGAAAGTCCCGCGGATATTTGCAGCGGGAGCAGGTAAATTTTTAAGCGGAGTCATCGATCGAAGCGTCCACGGCATCGTTAGCCTCGGCCTCCAAATACGGAGACCTGGACGGCGCGTGCTGCGGGTGCGCTCGCGAACGGTTTCGCTCGTTTAATTAAAAAAAGAAAAAAGAACCGCGGCCCGCGAGGAATTAAATGTATCGATACTCTGCTGCTGTCGCGCGACGCCAGGCTACGCGTCAGACTCGCAATCAGTGCCACGTCTGCCCGCTGTTTGACGTACTCCACTGATTGTCGGACCGCCGCAATCACTGGCAAATTCGGTCGCTCGCGCTACAATAACCGCGCGTACTTACGGTGCACGCCGAGGCTGGCATACGCGAGACTGTTTAATTGTAAAGCCGCAATATTAGAAACAGCATTGACTAGTAGAAACGTATCAGTATAATAATGTAACGTTGTAGCCTTGTAGTCTTTAATTACAAAAATATACTGTTGACTGCAGAAACATAATAATTAAAATAATACAACGTTATAGTCATAGCTACTCCCGCCGTTTACCCGCGCTTGCTTGAATTTCTTCACGTTGACATTCAGAGCACTGGGCAGAAATCACATTGCGTCAACACCCGCGAGGGCCATCGCAAAAATAAACGTTATATTTTTTGCAATTAGATAGTTCCTCGCGTACCTTACATTTTAATAGCTCTGCACCTTTTCCGTAGGTTTTTAATTACAAAAACCAGAGTTGGGAAGTAACTCGTTACTTGTAACGAAGTTACAGTTACAGTTACTTTGTTTTGGTAACACTCTAACTTACATACCTCCGTTACTTTCTTTCCAGCTGTAATTATAACTTAACTCAGTTACATTTTTTCGATAATTGGTAACTAATCGATTAGTTACAATAATAGTTACTTTATATATATATATATTTTAAACATCCACAGATTGCATTAGGCCTTGCATTTGCGCATAAACGCCTTTATCGACACTTTACTATTCGAATGCAGAGTTGATATTTTCATTTTTATTGCAAGAAAGTAACGATTCGTTACTTTTGGAGTAACTGTAACTGCAACCTTTTCACAATCGCTAACTTGTAACTGTAACTAGTCACATTTTTTGCGGAAAAAAACTGCAACTGTAATTAAATACTTTTATAAAGTAACCTTTCCAACCCCGACAAAACCATAATATTAAAAACTAGTAATTACAGATACGCAATGGTATAATAATATATTATGCTTGAATATATCTACATGTAGCTATATTATATATTTTTATGATTGAACAACACTTCTCGCACCTCACATTTTGATAGCTTCGCGTTCTCGACGCAAATACACGTCTTAATCGATAAAATGTCCAGCTTAATATTATCCCATTTTTTTGTACCAGAATATATATCGGATATTTTCTCGGTCGAAACGCGCTCATATCACGCTTCTGCATCTGATACCCTCGTGTTATAGCAGTCTCCGGAGGGCGCGTCCCCGCGCGCGGTAGTGCACACAACCGAGTTCGCCTATAAAAAAGATCTTTCTGTGGAAAGATAGGAGGAAACGAGGAGCTTAAACATCTTTCCCGCAAACATTTTGTTCTCGCTGCGGGCAAGGTAAGAACCGCGGCTCGGCTCGAACAAAACCGTCTTCCGCGTTTTCTTCCCGCTGCCAAGTCGACGTACTTTATTGTACGTGGCGGTGAAGGGGAGAAAATCCAAGTAGCGCGGGTGAGTTCGTTAATAATTGGCAAGAGGCGATGCAAGCGATGGTCGAGACATTTATTTGATCTTTTCTTATTTATAGAGAGCCTCGACTTTGCTATAAGAGAGCCGCCTTTATAACTTATCGGGTGGAAGTCTTTTAAATGAAAATTGTTGCCGTCGTGTTTTTCCACGCCTAGAACTTTTCTTTTAAATCTCAGAAGAGTCTCCCACCGGCGCGCGGCGTGCGTGTTACGCGCAAGTTTCACAACGATATTTGCGAATAAACGGGATGAAAGATGATTGCGACGATTGGCTATAATTTTCGATTTGCGATTGCCTCGATAAATGCAGGGTTTTTTTTTCATCACGCTAAGAGCTCGTATAAATCAAACTTAGTTAACGCGAGCGTCCATTGGCGAAGTTTAATTGAACGGCGGCCTAGTCTGCATCGAAACGAGGTGTAAAGTTACTACGAAATCAATACCCGGGAAAAGGGGACTGTTTTAAAAATCGGGACACGTGATTCTCAGCGCACGTACACCAAGTAGTTATTAACGACACGACCGAGTATGACGGCGGTTTTAGATGAAGAGGTGATACGCGGGTATACAAACGCGGAATAACATTTTTCTAAAAGTTTAAACAGGATTCCGGTTTTTTCTTCGTAAATCGCCGTTAAAAGATTAAAACTTTGTACGTTGCTCTCGGATTTGAATAAGCTTTTATTTTCCTGCGATATTATATACGTTCCCCGATGGGAAAATATTTAGCAAATTGTGTAACGAAATCCGGATGAAACTTGGAACGCTGGAAGTATGCGTACATATTTCGAACAATATATGCAGAAATGGAGACCCCTTCGTCAAATATTGATAAATATTTGCACAACGTATTTCTAAACGGCACGTCAGCAAAACAGCTGCGTTTTGGCGGATCACCTTTGCAGAATATTTGCACAATTAAATTGCTGTCGTGTTACGACGAGCTGCCGCTACGTGGCGTCTCATACTCGTAAGTAAAATTCACGCGAGATGAGATAGAGCAGGCCCAGCGGTAAATACGTTCCACGCTAAACCTTTTTTAAACATTTAGCCTCGATAATAAATAGGGATGTATCTTCGGGAAGGTAGTTATGAATTTTCGGCGAGAAAAGTAACGGGCTAGGAGTCGAACCTTCCGCTTGCCAGGCGAATGCTCTTCCAACTGAGCTATCCAGGCCCACGCCTCTTATAAAAATTCATTACACGTAACTGAGTTACTGGGCAACTTTGCTTCTAAATGTTGAAACAATTTGTGCATGATTTATCCCCTAAATTGAGAGTATCAGTGTTTGAGCAAATACCATTTAGAAATGTTATTCCTACGAAACCGCTGCGTTTTGCAATCACCTTAATGTAACCATTGTGAAATTTCCTCTTCTCGGATGATGCAAGACATTTTCCAATCGGAGTTGTAGTTTCAACAATGACTCTCAATGTATGAACAAAAGTACGAAATATTCCGCTTAAAAGAACAACGGACGACAAACAAAATTGCTGACTAAATGTATGCACAGCAATAGAAACTTATCTCTATTCCTTTTAACGAAGCACTGTATTTTTACTTATATTTTGTTTATTGTTGTTGAAATGAGTTTCTCGATTCTTATTGCAACAAACTTAAAACAGGAGAGAGAACAGAGCTTTCACGATCTGCTGGCGCGACTTTCCCTTGCGTAAACGGATTTTCCTTCCAATCCACTTCTCTTTTTACACAGAATCATTTGGTTGTATTTCCAATAACCGGCCACGCGGCATTAGATAAACGTTTCTGATGCAACATTACCAATGTAGAGGAAATTGATATCCTGTAAGCTCTATTTACCGGCGCGGTGACGTAGCTTCTTCCGATTAAAACTGTTTCCTGGCTGTCTCGTACGATTAACCACCGTGGGATATGGGGGCTAAATTATCGTCCGGATCGATCGGTTCCATCGCGATGCGATTAATTCTGCTACGCTTGACAGTGACTGATTTTATGTTGCACAAACTTGGGCAGCGCTTGACACGATCGATTAAGAGGGCCCTTCTGCAGTTTAACAAGTTGTCGAACGGCTGTCATTGCCTTTCATCTCGCAAATTGTAGCGGCATTAATTCCGAGAATCGCATGGGCGCCGCGACGAACGTACGTTTGAAAATTCGCGAGAAGGAAGGGGGGAGCCGGCTGAACGAAAACTCGGAGGAGTTTTCTATTTTGGAGTGACGGGGGACAATCCTGATTTCCATTCCCGTTTCTTTCCGCCGCGGTGCCATTGGCAATCGTAAGCCGCAACGAGGATTTACGTAAACAGTCCCCGCGCCGGGACAATCCTCGCCATTTACGCGACGGCCTATTCCTACGTAATTACTAGAAAACCAATTATTTTATCTCAATAACACACTCTCTTTATTTGCCAACGTGGGCGTATCGGGAAATCGGATTAAAGATGTTTAGAAAGAGGGCGACACTTTTAATCTACGTATTACTCTGGAGTTTCCGCCTTTAGGGATCTTGTTTGCTTTTTCCTCTCTTCCAGGTATTAAGTTTACCTCACCCTCTGTCTCTGTGCGCGTAGTATTGTGTCGTCATTCGCGATACACTCGATTTTCAATCCCTCAGCGGACGGAATTAATGGTATTCTCGTCAAGAAGAGAGAGAGAGAGAGAGAGAGAGAGAGAGAGAGAGAGAGAGAGAGAGAGAAACCACATATTGTAAAGAGAAAATTACATATGTAGGTAAGTAGAATTATACAGAATGCACGTATGCTGAGCTGTTACATTCCTTTATGTGTAAAAGAGATTTACAACCATAAGCTGCGCGATAATCGTGAAATGAATCAACAGAATTGAATAGCATATTTATACCTTATATTATATGCAAGTCCGAGTGAGTAAAAGATTCGTTCCCTCCTATAAATTGTAGAAACTTCACACCGAAGAAGTTACGTAAAAAGTTATATATAACGCATTGAGGGAAAAGAAGCTTACTTTCGTCTTCGAGCGCCCGGGACATTCGTTGCGATGAAAAAGAGGTCGTCCAAATAAATTGATTTAACTGGTTTTAAGAATCAATTATTATTATTTTAGATCACTCTATTCTCTCGTTTTTGTTTCGGGGAAAAATTGATTCTTAAGTATTTGCGACGAAGATGAAATCAGAGTCCAATTGAAGTTCTCAAGTCGAAGTCACTGGAAACTGAAATTGGAGTCGAAACGTTAATTGGAGTCGAAACGTTATCGTCAATTTGTTTCCACGACTTGTAATCGTAATTGATTACAGCTGATTATATGACCCACACGTAAGAATAATACTCTCGTTGTCCAATTGTTATTTTTGTGTTTATATTATCGAGAGTTTGTCCATTTATTTATTTTACTAAATTGTGAAGTGCACCCTTGTCTGGGCATAAGGAGTAAAAGTAAAAATCTTTTGTAGGTACTGGACAGTCGGACGGAGTATCATTTCGTACATAGAGCCTTGCCGCATGTACGGAGTAAACGGTCTGTGCCGCACACGCGAAAATTAAAGGTCGACCCTTTGGTAAGTTGATATATTATATTTCCTTTGCGATAGGTCACGACTGCGTGACAATTCTCACTGTAGTGAAAAAAGTTATCGGGTTAGAAGTTATCAAAATGCTAATGTAGCTGAGCAAGAGTCAGATTGCTGTGACTTTGTTTCTTTTTTTCTATTCTGTAGAGAATTGAGATTGGATGAGCTTTATACGGTTGAAAACTTGAGGTTTTCTCGTTAAAAAATATGCCGGTTATAATTTTTGTCTTAAATATTTAACACATCCATGCGACGCGTTGAGTCAACGTATTGCTATTGTGTCAACTGAACCCGAGTGTAAAATGATTGAAACAACTAAAACGAAAATGTGTAAAAATAACACAACGTGCCCGTTTTTAATTTTACACAATAGATTCCTACGTCCGTATTGCACTCGTCTACAAAAATGCCTCGGAAACGAAATCATTCAGTTTTGACTAATTTGGAGTCGCTGAATCCGAATATAGCAGTGAAAAATTTTTATTAACTCTAGTTTCGATGACGTCGGAAGATTGAAATTGCTCAAAAACCGCTTTATTGTTATTTTCGGGCTGTAACTTTACAACGAAACGTGATAAATGATTCGTTGAAAAGTTACAGTCGACCAAAAATATCATAAAAGCGGCATAAAAGTTTTTGGGGGTTTTTAATCTCTTATAATATCTAAACTAGAGTTAATTTAACTTTTTCACTAACATATTCGGATTTGACGACCCACATTAATAACGCCTGGCTGATTTCGTTTTCGAAGCAGAAAACGAGTTCAGTTTTGCAGACCAATGTTATTAGTGACAGGATTTATTCGTTAAAATTTACAGGAAGAAAATGTTAATTTTAACAAGTTTGAATTATTACACTTGTGTAATGTAAAAATAACGTTTTTTAGACAATTTTATCATGAAAAATATGTTAATTTTACACAAAATTTAAATTTCAAGTAACTTTAAGATTTGCATTTATATTACGTTAAAACATTAACGTACTATTAATGTCATCTTTTAATATATTATATCAAATAAATCATCATTTAATATATTATATTAAATAAACACAAAAATTTATGCGGACATGTAACATCTATTAAATTTAACACAAATTTATTAACTGTGTACGCTTGTCAGTGCATGTGAGAGGTGCATCTAAAAATTCCCATAACATTTAGACCATCAAGTCGTGAATCCTTTGCGTTCCAAATTATTTATCGCAAACGAGCAGTGATTAAACCTCTCGTCCTTAGCGCAATCCAATTGGCGGGTTCAACGTGCAACAATCGGTTTGTGTTAGTTGAAGATTCGTCGAGATGAAAAAAATATATCACGCTGATCGTCAATCAAACGCTGTTTCAAATGTTTGGAGGATTAGATGCCGCGAGACGATTGCGTCAATATCCACCTCGATGTAGAATGGCAAGCGGTTAGGAGACATCGGTGCCTCTCCCTCTTGTGTTTCAAAAGCGCGTCGTAAAAGGGGGTTGAAGTACAATAAAACTCTAGGTGGCCACGGCGATACAGCAGGCTGGCTTCAAGAGGGTGAAGAGGGGCTACAAGCCCCTGAGCGTGGACAACCTCGTGCCGTTGTACGAAATGAAGAATCCCGCGAATCCGGCGAGCAAGGACCCGACGGATCCCTTCTTCAAGTACCAGTGGTACCTGAAGAACGTCGGGCAGAACGGCGGTAAGCCGAAGTTGGACCTGAACGTCGAGGCTGCCTGGGCGCAGGGCGTCACAGGGAAGAACGTGACGACGGCTATAATGGACGACGGTACGTGGGGGGAGCGTTTTCTCTAGCTCCTTACTTCTTCATTTTTGTTTCCTTCCCTGCCGGACGAATCAAAGTCACCGAGCTGGGGGACTGTTGCAAAGTCAAAACGGCGTTAAATTACACGCGCCCTCGAGTGCAGTTCCTGGAAACTGGCGGGCTTTGGAATCGATATCGCGCCGAGAGGGTAGCGCGAGTTACGCAACGCTCTCGCTCTCTCTCTCTCTCCCGTTTCACCGAGACGGGGAGGGAAAGAGAGAGAGAGAGAGAGAGAGAGAGAAAGAGACGTATTTTCCGAGCGTCCGTTCGTAACTGCAGGATCCGACGAATGGTATAATAAGATTGTCCAACCGAGTCCTTTTAATGCCGACCGCTTGTCATTAACGAGGGAGCGAAATTGCCACTTTGCCGCTGTCCTCCCTCTCGGCTGTAGTGCCTTCTTTTTCGCGGTACGGGGCTCGGGGGCTTATTTACGTTACACGTCGCACGTGGCGCGTAACGCCGCCGCCAACACAAAATCTATATGTATTAATAATTCTATTGTTCTATTACAGGTGTCGATTACATGCATCCGGATCTCAAATATAATTATGTAAGCATACTCGTTGGAGCGCTGGTATTTTACCGCGAAGAGTTTCTCGTGCCCCTATCAATAATTAATTTTAACTCGGCTAGCAAGCTGACCCCATTTGTCGTCATTTTGACGTCGAAATGTCGTTATTTGTCGTCACTGTAACGTCAGGCCTGCCGGCCGGAAAGTCTCGGGCGCGACGTCTTTTAAAGGGAACGATCGCACCGGAGCCAGATAGCTTCGATAAAAATGTTCTTCGCAGTTGCCAGTTTATTTTTAATTTCACTACAGTACTACGACAAACCCTTCCCGCGCCAATTTAACGAGCGTTAATCGCATCGCGACATTTCGATAATTGCGTTAAAACGACGACGACGATGAGACTTTCCGCTCGAAAAGTTTGCGACGTAACGAGTGCGGAGCTGATGCGTAATATTTCTGCCACGATAAATCCGCGACTGTAATTTGACATTAATAATAACGCAGTACGTTAACTACACGCTACAACAAACGGGATCACGCGAATATTTCCGTCATACTTTCGCACGGATGCCATTCTTGGCGCGTGGAAGCACGTCAGGAATTCCAAATCCCAGAGAAACGAGACCCCGAGTGCGGTTAGAGCGAAGAGTAAGGAAGAATAATCGGCTTACGGTATTCCGGCGACCGATCAGTCCACGAACAGGTCTCGTAAGAGCAGAACGCTATTTGAAACTAGCCGATCACTCCGTCTACTTAACAATGTCTTTTACGAATACTTTTGATTGGTCGACTCGAGGAGGCAATTAAACTTTTTAATCCTGACTGCAAGTTTTCTTGTTGGACACTTTGACTTTGTAATGGAACGACATAATCGTACCTTCAAACGTAGGCTACACCTTTTTACCGCTCGACACAAAAAACTTATCTTGACTTCACTTAGCGGATCGCGCTTTACTACGTTATTAAGTCAACTGCACCACGCGCTAGGTCTGGTTTTAATTAAATTTCGTGTTAACAGGCTATTTCTCGCGGTTTGTACTGTTTTCTATTGTATTATAATTTGCTGAGGATGACAGATCGAAACGTCCGCACTGATGTATTTATTTTATTGCATTTTATTAAACGAGTTTTTTTATCGTATTCTAAAATCTTATTTCTGCTCATAAATTGGCTGTGATATTATTTAATGTGCCGTTATTTATTTCTCTGCGCAAAAGTTAACGACTCACGGTTTATACAAAGCGCCATTGCCGAGCCGTCCTTTTTATCGCTGCCGTCGTAATTAAAATCAGCGCACGACTCGGTCGTTGCTGATTTCGTCTGCCCAGAGCGGTCACGCGCCGCCGTAACTAAATATGTCATTACGCGACGAATTAATGATCGCGGGTCACTAAAGTCGACGTCTCCTTCCAGAACGCCAAGGCTTCTTACGATTTCAGCAGCAACGACCCTTATCCTTACCCGAGATACACCGACGACTGGTTTAACAGGTAAGGGCACGTCTTATATGTATATTTAAAGAAGGAATTACGTTTTCGAAAGTATAATAGAATGAGGGAGAGTTGAACAAGGAGTCGAAGAAGTAGATAAACGCAGTCGCGCGGTTGAGGGTGGAGAGCGAGAGCTCTTAACCGAGGGCGTGGAGACAAAGGCACTCGTGTTTGAAAGTAAAACAAAGGCGCGTCCCACATCCGCGCGCGTGAATCGCCTGGCGAACTTCCGCGCCGTAATAACCAGAAGCCCGAGAACCTAAAGCCTTGCGGTCTTTTGTCATGGGGGGGTAGCCACGGCACGAGGTGCGCCGGGGAGGTCGCGGCCGCGCGCGACAACGGGGTGTGCGGCGTCGGTGTGGCGTACGACTCGAAGATCGCCGGGATCCGGATGCTGGACCAGCCGTACATGACCGACCTGATCGAGGCGAACAGCATGGGCCACGAGCCCGACCTCATAGACATCTACAGCGCCTCCTGGGGACCCACGGACGACGGGAAGACGGTGGACGGGCCGCGTAACGCGACCATGAGGGCCATCGTTCGCGGCGTCAATGAGGTACGGGCATGCATAATTACTTGCGTCACGTTGGGTGCCATTAGCGAGATTAATAGAATCACTGATATACCTTTAACGGTGAAGTCATTATCGGGCAACGAGAGCTTCTCGCTATCAATTCTCGCGTCGGAAAAAAAGAAGAGAGAGAGAGAGAGAGGAAATTCCCAAGCAGAACAAAAAGCCATTAAAAAGTCAAGCTGACGTAAAAAAGTAATCGTTTCTAGAAAGTCAGGATGATTGGCATTTAACACTTTTAATGAAACATAATTTGACTTCCCAGCGAGACGTGACATCGACATCGTCAAATTCATGTCGAGTCGGACAGTCATCGTTTCGACGAATCATTTATCACTGGGTTGCTCTACGACTAATATTTTGACTTTTCGATGACTTCCGAGGGAATGCAAATCGCGATCGTGCATGCGAAGCGATTAAGATCTCGCAGATATTGTTGTATTTTACGAATTTGTGGAGATATTTAATTTTTTCAAGCATCGATATCCTGATTTTTCTTTTACAAGATGCAAAATAAAAAGATTCCCCTAGTGGTACAGTGCATTTGGCTAAACATTGGTTAAACATTGGCCCGATGTCGGTTATATTGGAAATGCATTGGTCGACATTGTCCAACGTAAAGCCAATATTGGCTATGGAATAAATATAAATACAATAATGATTATATAATATTAGATTTATATTGGATGTACATTGACCGATATTTAACAATGTAATAAAAATATTGGCCTAAAATTGATACGACATTAGACCAATATTGCTGAAGAGACATATATTGGCTAAATAAGAGTAGGGTTATTCTCCCTTTCGGTCCACTTTCTCCTACAATTTCTCAATAATGATCGTGAGCTTAATAACACAATGACGATTCAGTATCATTGAATGACGAGTGTCCCGAAAATAGTGGAGTTCAATGTGTAGCTTCAAAGGAAGAGAAAGAAAAAGATTGCGTTGCTTTCGCTCGTTCATGTCGCTCGTTTGCTCGCGCGTTCCTATCAGGGCAGAAACGGATTGGGCAACATCTACGTCTGGGCGTCCGGGGACGGCGGTGAGGAGGACGACTGTAACTGTGATGGATACGCCGCGAGTATGTGGACCATCAGTATCAACAGTGCCATCAACGACGGCCAGAACGCCCATTACGACGAGAGCTGCTCCAGCACCCTGGCTTCCACCTTTAGTAATGGTGCCAAAGACCCTAACACGGGGGTGGTAAGTAGATACTGTAGGAATCAGGAAAAGGATTACCTAAAGTCGCTCGAAGAGACGAATGTAATGCCAGAGATTTCAGAGCAAAGTCTCCCTTGCCAGAGCAATTCTTCATTTTCTTTATCGGCACGGTAAACAAAACTGATGTTTTATTTATTGTGTCGGTGAAGAAGACGTATTCTCAGGTGGAAACTTCGCGGCGACACCTCTTCTTCTATATGTCGAATTATTTTCCAAATAAAGAAAATATCTCCTTTTTCTTCTATTCGGTTGTATGCTTTTTTTACAGGCTACCACAGATCTGTATGGAAAATGCACGACAACTCACAGCGGGACGTCCGCCGCGGCACCGGAAGCCGCGGGAGTGTTCGCGCTTGCTCTTGAAGCCAAGTGAGTTTATTCTGTTTTTTTTTTGTTAACATATTGTTCTTAACGCCGGCCGGTATATCTAATTTAAATTTAATTCTTTTGAATGTGAAAGATCACCTGCGTAAAGACATGTCATTTATTTTCACGTCCCTACATTAGTATTCTGGTACGTTTTCGTAAATTCGCTACGTGAGTTTTCGAACAATTTTACGCGGGTACCGTCAATCTGTTACACAAAACAAATATTTTGCCGGCACCGATAATTTCACGCTGCAAGTTGTAAGAAACTTTAATTTCCAGCCCGCAATTGACTTGGAGAGATATTCAGCACCTGACCGTCCTAACATCGAAAAGAAACTCTCTGTTCGACGCGAAGGACAGATTTCATTGGACCATGAACGGCGTTGGGCTCGAGTTCAATCATCTTTTCGGATACGGCGTCTTGGATGCGGGAGCTATGGTAGCCCTAGCTAAAAAGTGGAAGACGGTACCGCCGAGATACCATTGCGAAGCCGGTTCCACGTTCGAAATGCAGTAAGTAGCCGTTGCGGAGAGATTGACAGTTCAACCGGGCATTCTGAGTGAATGAGCGGGAAGACGAACCGAATGTTACCGCGATGTTAGACTTCAACGACGGATTCGCCAAACGATCTAGGGTCGACTTCTTGCTCGAAGCCCGCCTCGTGTCGCCAATCCGTTTCCACGAGCCATTTTATCTTTCAGGAAAGTCACGAGTGATCGGTCGATTCTCGTGAAGATTAAAACCGACGCGTGTGCCGGCACGGAGTATGCCGTCAATTACTTGGAGCACGTGCAAGCCGTCATTTCCGTGAATGGAACTCGGCGCGGTGATCTCGAGTTGTTCCTCACGTCCCCGATGGGTACCAGGTACGACGAACGCCACGAATCTTCCCAACCCTAGCGGAAAAATTTCTATAAATAACTACAAAAAATTGACTTGAAATAGAAATTTGTAGAAATTTTTATATCTTCGTTGAAACATTTATTTTTTTGTAAAAATATCTACAAAATAGTACCACAAATTACATTGTTCTCAAATCAAGAAATTATTGTGAGTAATATTTCATGAAAATGTACAATTTTGTAAAAATTAGTACAAAATTTTACTGGTTCTAAAAATTTGTGAAACAACAAAATCTTAAAGAATTAAAACATCTGCTTACTTGAATGTTACAAAAATTAACACAAGTTTTCCAATTCTAGCATTTTCATGTTGATTTTCTTAACACTTTTTAAATTTATGTAGAATTTCATAGATTCTGGCAGTTATATTTAATTTTCTTGTAGAATTTTGTAGAATTATTTCCGGCAGGGAAGTAGAACAAGTTAATCGCAAAAACGCCAATGTGACATTAAAATGATGAATTCTACGTCATAAAACGATCGACATCGAGATTTACTTTGCAATGACTGATTTATGACATGCTGTTTTATGACATTCGTGATGTGTATAATAATATATTATTACAGATTACGTGGTCAGTCATATATTGTGTTTATCTTATATTACTTCAATTTATTTTTAATGTCTAATATTTAATTAACTTTGCTTTGTAAAACACGATCATTTTTACATTTTGATGATGTCACAAATAGGTGCTCTCGGTGGGCTATTTTGACGTCACCATGATGCATAAAAAATGACCAAAAAATGACGTCATCTCGATGTTTTCATGACTAACAATAAGATGTTCTACTTGGGTTTCTTCAGAATATAAAATAGACGAAAACTTTAATTCGTTGTTAGAAACTATTTAACTTGCCCACTGTGAGTCCAAGATACTCGTGTGATAACTTGAAACGTTTTCTTCTTTCTTTCTCACCTACATATGTGCAGTTCGATCTTCCACACGTGTTTCAATCTTTAATTTAATAATCGATCACCTCACTTCTCTTGCCTCGTTCCTTTAACGAGTTTCCGCCCTTCTTAATTTTTTATCCCAGTTCGATGTAAATAAATCTCCGTAAAACCCTCCCAAAATGTACGTGCGATGACTCCAAAAATGTTTTCTCCCTCTTCACTCACCTATGTGCAATTCGACCTTCCACACGCGCCTCATCCTTCGACCAATTCAATAATCAAACGTTACACTTTTCTTTCTTCATTCCCTCAACACGTTTCCCCCTTGTGTAATTTTTTTTGATTAAATAAAACGAAAACAGAGAACAGATACTTTATTTTGCGCAAGTAGCAAATAATATAATAATGTTAAACACTCACCTTACGATTGCTCCGCCGTTGCCCGATGCCTCCGAAGCCTCCTCCTCCTCCTCTCAGATTTCCTTGTTGCACTTACACAGCACTCACTCGCGAAAATCATCGATCGCGCGAAATTTCGGGCACTCCCGTACACGATGTGAAATACCGCGAAACGCACGAAACATTATTAACAAATATCGCGTGATTTTCTGTCATACAAATTACTCAAACTAACAACTTGCATTTTTGATTCGGAAGAATGGATAAATCACTTTTGAAATGGCGATATAAAACGCAACGCGAGCATCGGAAGCATAATCTGCGGTGAAGAAGTAGTTACTAGTCCGCAACGAAACGATATTTTACAATTTCATCCTTGAAATAAATTATGTGGGCAAAATTTCCAGCGATCAATAATTGTTATTAATTGCAACAGATTACACGATATCGATAGATAATTAAAAGCGCGATGCGTAAACGAGATGTAACCGCGACAAAGTACCACGGTTTACATTCATATTTTAGATGAGTAGTCTCGTGAAGTATCTATGTATACGTTAATAAAGAGCCGTCGCCTCAACATACAATTCGTTTCTCATTACAAGTTGTAAAAACTTAATAATTAATCGAGGGACGTTACGCACGGAGCGACTCTCGCCACTGCTTGCCGGCTCGACGTTCGGCGAGCGAATGATAGCGCGGCGACCTTCAAGTAAACAATGGCCCGCGTAACGTCGTACGATACCGCGACGAGAGAAAAACAACAACGAACGTTGCGAGTTTGTTGTCCCGCCTACGAAATTAAAAATTCTATACTTAATATTTTACAATACTCTGTTCCGTGACAGTTACTACGTTTTGCGTATCATTCTGCGGACTTATTGGCATTGATTAAATTAACGACTAATTCTGTTCAACCGAGAAAATGTTTCGAAACAAAAATCGTTGTTACTTAAATTCTAATTACTGAGATTAGAGATTTTACCTCAATAGTTAGTGTATATAAATGTACATTTCTAAATTGCATATCTTCATTTACTATGAATCTAAAAGAGCGGTAAAGCACCGTTGCTGCAAGATTGCAGCAGCGTTGCAGCAACATTTCGCAGCGTTTAGGCAATGTTGCAATCTTGCGATAAATTATTGCTGCAATGTTGCTGAAACCTTGCTGTGCTGTATGGGTTGAAACATTTCCTTCCTTTTCTCTCATCTATGTGCAGATCGACCTTCCACGCGCGTTTCATCCTCGAACCAATTCAATCAAACACAACACTTTCCTTTCTTCATTCCTTTAAAGGAATGCGGGAGTGATTGTACACTTTTTGCATCTAGAACTGCCAGTTCATGAAAACATTTGTGCAATACACAAATTATAAGGCTTATGCGTACAGATCGAAAGTGTCTCACTATATTCGGGCTAAATCAGAAAACGGCATTGTATCATTGAAACTAAGTTTAGGAGCTTAACAAGAAATTCATGCACTCAAATAAGTTATAAGTTACTTAACTTATAACTTATTTGAGCGAGTATAGATTTCTTTTTAGGCTTCCAAACTTAGTTTCAATGATACAATGCTGTTCCCTGATTTAGTCCTAATAGTGGGACACTGTCGGTCTGTACGCAAAGGCCACATAATTTGTATATTACACAAATGTTTTCGCGAACTGATAGTTTTAGGAGCAAAAGGTGCAAAATGTGCGGAATCACTCCAGCAGTTCCTTAGGGAAGTTTCCCCGCGTCTTAAATTCTATCCCACCAGTTTGATGTAAATAAATCTCTGTAATTTTCAGATCTATGATTCTGAGCCGCAGAGTAAACGATGACGATCACAGGGATGGATTCACGAAGTGGCCATTTATGACGACGCACACGTGGGGAGAGTACCCTCAGGGAACTTGGTTGCTGGAGGTAAATCTCGTTTGCCCGTGTCTTCTTCCGCGAATTTCGTTACGTGTTCCTTTCCTCTCGCCTACGCTCTCGCGTAACACGATTTGAACCTCGGGCTCTTGTAGGTAAGCTTCAACACTCAAACGCCTCAACACGGATGGCTGAAAGAATGGACGCTGATGCTCCACGGTACCAGGGAACCACCATACACAGGACTATCGACGGCGGATCCTCACTCTAAATTAGCGATCGTCAAGAAAGCCCACGAGGAGCGATTCAGCGCGATCTAACGATATCGATGACCACGTTCCACGCGATTATCGCCGATTTCAGCGAAGAAAACGGGAATATTCCAATCGGAAGATGTTTACGCGAGCGCTCCCCTTCTGCTTTCCTGATTTTGCGCTGCGCAGCTGAAGAGTGTACCTCGGTTTCTTTTTCAGAATCTGATTGCGCGCCGCCGATCTCATCACCCGTGCCAATCTATCGTCATTTGTTATCCCCGCGTGTGTTGGCTTACATTCCCACTCGAGTCATCGCAGAACAGTTAAATCCCGGTACTTTGCATTATAGTCGTGCGTTTGTATCACTCTGTATAATTACGGTATCAACTATAATCACATATCGTACCGTTTATAACAAAGCTTGTACCGTTAAGAATGTCTATCTTTTATACAGTTTTCAGCACTTCAACTCGTTTGCTAAATTACCAAAGGAAAGTTAAAATATTAGCCACCTGATTAAAGGGCGATTTTGCTTGCAAATTTCTAAGAAATTCTGGTAAAAGACGTGAAATAAATTTAAAATTAAATATTTATTGCATTGCCTTCTGACGCGTTTTACGATCTTTGAAGTACTTCGTTTTAACATAGGTGCCGGGCACCGAATGGAAAGAGTTGAAAAAAATTAATTCACAATTGGCGGACAGTGATGGATAAAAAAAATTATGATCGATAGCGTTACAACTTCCGCAAAGATCTATCCGATGTTTATGATCTGTTATTTTTAATTACAGTGTTATTATTATCATTGTTATTAGTGCTAAGCTTCCGAGCGACATACGACGCAATTATCGACGGGCATTTGTTTTGCTAGAATCCGCGTTGACAGCTTTCCGAAAAGTTTTCAAGTCGACGATCGAAACTTGACGATTTAGGGGAACAAGGTGTGACGGGAAAGGAAATTTACTATGTATTACTCAAATAGCGGAATAAAAAAAAATTACTCTTCTGACGGAGCGGTAAACTCGAGGCATTTAGCGTTTAATGGACGTTATCGAATCGATAGCGCCTTCGAAGGAGTATCCCGGGAACAAGTAATATTCGTGTAATCATCGTCGTCCTCGCAGCTCGATAGTTCGGCTCCACCGAGAAACCTTTTGATTCTCTTACTTTAAATGGAAAGTTCACAGGCGGGACGAGTCAATCAGAGGGAGCGACTGTAATTGTTTTTTAACTACGCGAGTCAGCATCCGTTTCTCTTTCTTTCCCTCGCAAAATTATTTATTACTCAAGTTTGGGAAATATTTAGAATAGAGGTCTGTAGAATAGCGATCTCTCTTTCTCTCCCCCCTCTCTCTCTCTCTCTCTCTCTCTCTCTCTCTCTCTCT